CCATCTCTGGGTGCGGAGGGAGCTCTAGGGCAAATCATACATACCAAGAAATGCTGGGAGATGGAAGCCCAGAACTGTTGGGCGCCCGGGAGACAGGGATCCTTCCGTGCAGCCTGAGATGCAGGAAAGGGTGGCAGGCGGTGGCCCTCAGCAAGGACAGCAAACAGCTGGGAACCAGCTGCCTTACGTGGAAAAACTACGAAACAAATCCTGAAGAACATGGGTTGAGTCACAAAGAAGCCACCATACATATGAAGTCATACAAAATGTCTGCTTGGAGCCAGCTCAGGACTGGCCAATTTGGGAATCATTGGAGTGAGTCCCAGGGCTTGGCGTGACACTTTGGGAAGCCGGAAGCGTGTGGAGCCTGAGCGCCCAGAAATGCTTAAAGCAGCGGTAAACTGTCTTTTTGGCATCAGGGTTGATGGAGAAAAAATGTTTTCAAGCCACTTGATGATTATTCAAAATTAAAATCACTTTGCTTTTGTCCCACAATGGGCAGGGTTGGGGGCGGGGAGAAGTGGGAGGTGTAACTTACCTCTTGGCTTCTGACCTTTGTGGGAAGGAAGAATTTCACTGGAAAACAAGGGGCAGCCTTTTAGCTGCTGATACATTAATGTGGGGGCTGACAAGAATTAGCAAGAAGAAAGCAGATTTTGAGCTTTTCGTCTTGGGGTTGGATTTCCAGCTGGGCTCTGAGCTCGGGAGCCACTGAGCTTGGGCTGAGGGGTCCTCAGTCCGGTCACCCTGTTGTGCTTCGGCCTCCAATTTCCATTCAGGTGACACCTCGTTTACATAGGTGTGAAGGGCAGTCTTGAGGAAGTCAGGGTGGAGGGAACCATCAGAGGCGGCAGCGACGCTGATGAGCGTCAGGGCGGGACTGGGTGGTGAGGGTCTCCAAATAAGAGGAGCCGGCCCGCCTGCTAGCACCTCCCGCCCGGCTGGACAGTCATCTGCCCAGAGACCCAACCTTAACTCGCAGAGACCAGAGGAGTCTGATGGAATTTCCAGAGCCTAGGGGAAGATTTTACAGGCGGAATCGACTTGTTCTTTGGTCTCCAGCGGCCTCCGCCTCTTGAAGTCACTCCTAGGTTCTCTGACCTCATCCCTCTAGAGTCACCTTGCCTGTTGTGTACCCCAGGAAGGGTCCGAGCCGGAGGCAGGGTCAGGCGGGTCTTGGTGGGAGGCGCTCACCGCCTGCCTCGCTCTTGGGCAGTGTGGGTCCAGAGAGGGGCCCAACCCAAGCGCTGGGGCGTGGGAAGTTCTCACAGCAGCTTTGAAATAAGCCGTCACTTGGTGCTGAGTCAGCCCTGGGACCACATTTCTGATACCTTTCCTGAGAGATGAATTGTACTTCTTAAAAAGATTTTCAAGCGCACAGAAAATTTCAGGACAAGAGATGAAGAGTAGTATTAAAGTGATGACCAGCTTCACTTCCAAGGCTGAAGTCAGTAAAAGCTCTGAGCATTAATTTGTTCTGCACTTTCTCTACTGTTTCATTTAAAGACGTCTTTTATCAGCCATTAATTACAGTGTTTTCCCACATTGTGTTCTATAGGACTTTGGGGTCCTGGGAAGTGTTAATAAGCCTTTCTTTGTTTGGAGGGTTCTATGTTCAGATGTTTGGGGAGAACGCATTACTGCACCCACTTCTTAAGGATTCATGGTGTGAGTATGTTAAAAACCTATGAGATTGTCCTTAAAGAAGTTAATTTTGGTTAAACTTACACTTCCCAAAATTATTTTCTCAAACACTTCTGAACACCTCACAGATGACGGTGTCCTGAAAAATACAGTTTGGGAAATTCTAACTCATACCCATGAAAGAGCTGAGCCCTGGGGCCCCGAACTTGATAGGTCATCTGATCAGCATTCAGCAAGGATGGTGTCATCGCCAGATGAAGCAGCCGAAGTCCAGAGGAGAACTGTTGGCCACAGACTACAGAGCATCTCATAAGTGAAAACAGGCCGATACGCTCCCATTCTGCCCTAGAGAGACAGTCTGTTCTGCTTATGATGATTTAAATGGGACATGTCCTCCTGTTTAATCTGTTAGAACTGCCTGGTGGTTGTACTGCTGAGCTTTACTGAAACACAAAGCTCACTGCACATATTAGCCTAGGCTTTGAATTCTTTCCTCCTTGTCCTCCCTCCTCCTCCAAATCTCACAGCATCCAAACAGTGCCGCTGTCTGCAGTATCATACTCCCCACCCACAGCAGCAGCATTCTAAAAGAATTTCTCAGTATTTAATACTCAGTGACTAGTCTCTGCTGAATTCACCATGTGGACACAGAGGGCTAGCATTTGGTTTTAGTGCTTTACTAAGAAAAACATTCCAGCACTGGTAACCAAGGACATCAGGGGGCAAGGTCCAAGGGGAGTAATTCATACATAATGAAAATGATGAGAAAAGACAGGCATGTTCTATGCCCTGAACGTTAGAATCATTACTCAAGTGATGTTGTTGCTCCAACTTGGCCTTCGGACCCCGCTTACTGAATTGAGACTCAAGGACAGAGTTCTGTATGAAGCAGAAAAGGTAACTTCATTTCTTTGCCCAGGCAAAGGAGGTCACAGTGGGCTAGTGCCCTCAGGACTGTGAGCCTGCTGGGGAGAGAAGGCGTGGAGGCGGGGGTGGTTATAAGCAAGAGTTCGAGAGATCATATACAGGGTAACAAATTATTGCAAAGTCATTCTTGTTTTTGGATGCAGTGGCCACCTTCTCTCTGCTGGGTATGACATTCACCTCCAGCTTTGAGACTCTCCTAATATTCCTATGCCAAGAACAAAGGGAGCTTAGGAAAGGGGCCTGTGGAAAAGAACTCCAGAGAAAAACTTGCGGGTTTAAAGTCAGGCTGATAAATGCTTCTGGCATTTTAGGCAGGTTGAGACCTGGGACCTCTCTGCAGTGCAACAGAATACAAAGAAACCATAAGGGGCTAAAAATAACTACACACATAAGTAGTTGGGGTGAGTTATGAATAAGATGCACAAAATACCCAACTGCGGTTTTAGAGGTGTCAGGAGCAAAATGAAGGCACGGTGCATGGTCCCCGTACGGGCCACCCAATCCCCCTTCTCTCCAGTCCAGACCTGATCAGCAAGAACATGAGAAAAGCCATTTAAACTACCGTACAGGTAAGCAGTTACAAGTACCAGATGGTCACTGTTGACATAGGTACTTCGGAGAGGAGCTACAGCAGAGGATATGGGGGAGGAGTCTGTCCCCAGAAGCCGCCATAAGGTCCTGCTCTGTCACCCTGGGACTGATTGGGGTTGGGGTGAGAGGGGCTGGTTTTAATGGTTTGGGCAGCAGAAAGCAAGTGTCCTGGACTCATCTCTTTCACGGCTGCGATGCAGTGGAAGGTTCCTTGGCTTGAAAGCTGGTGGGGGGAGGTGTTAGCCAGAGCTGCTTCAGTCTTAACTGGCTGGGTGTCACTGGGCAGCTCTCTGAGCCTCAGTTTCCTCCTCTGTGGACACGAGGGTGTTGGACTAGATGAGCTCTGAAGACCCTTTTACCATTGCAGCTCTTTTTCACAATTTGGTGCGACTGAGCATCAGTAAAGCAGGGAAAGCCCTACCAGCCCCGTGAATCCCTGTGTGGTTTTCGTTTCTTTGTCCTTCGGCATTTGCAAGTGCCAAAGCTCAAAGGCATGCCCAGCCTCAACACCTTCTAAATCAAGAACTTCCCCTCCAGCGTCTGAAAGATGAATAATTAACATCCAGAGATTCAGCTCAGAAGTATCTGGAACATCCAAGGCAAGATAAGCAGTTTCATCTGTTTTGGACTAATTAATAAGCCCAATATTTCATCACTGTCATTTTTTAAAGGAGAGAGTGATTATTGAGTATAAACATATGTGATCTAAATCCTCCTGTCCTTTTTTTATTTTTTAAACCTTTGCATTGCCCAGTGTCTGCAATGTTATTGTCAGAGGAATTTAAAGTCAAACACAGCTTCAGCTCATTGCTTGGGAAGCCAGTGGAGGGTCGAGGGGGGTGGCCTTGAAAGGTGGCCTTGCACCCACGGGCGTGGTGACACAAGCCATCCGGTAGTAGGCATGAAAGGCACACTCGATCACTTTGATTTTTTTTCTCTTTCCAAGTTTGTGTGGAGCCAGTGTGGTCACCCCAGGGCGTCTGTAGCACCGATGAGGAGACAAATTAAGGACATGTTGGCTCCAGAGTTAATTAGCTTGCCTGCCTCTATTTTTCAACTTTTGTTTATTTTCTGATAAAGTGACCCGTGATCCCCAACATCATTATTACAGAGATGGCCAGGTGTTTCTTATAACTTTTGTGCTCCACTAATCCACAGATTAGCCATTCTCAACCTGGGGAGCTTTAAAAAAGGCTGATACTGTTCCCTTGTGGTGACCCCCAGCTGAGCGGGGCGCAGCACGGGCAGTGGGATTTTTAAACGCAGCCGCCTTCCTTTCCCCAGTGGTTTCCGTGTGCCGCCAGGGTTGAGAACTACCATCAGGGCACACAGATCTGCACAATCAACTTTTAAAACCCAATGCACTCGGTGACTCTGCCCATATGAAATATATTGAGAACATCCTTCAGTTTTTCCAAGCTTGTTAAATATTACTAATATGGTATCTCAGGAATTCTCTTTCCAATGCTTAGCATGTGTAGCCGGCTCAACGTCAGAAAAAATTAGAGCTCCACGCCCCCCTGTGGCTAATACATAGTACTGCACCTTTAAAATCTGAACCAGTTGGAGCCCAGTGTTAAGTGATGCCTCCCTTAACATGATCTCGGTCAGGGACGCATGACCACATCATTAATGGACAGGATCTCCATTGAGAAATATCTGAGAACGGATACCCCCGTGTTGCTGCTGCGCAGAGGAATTACTATTCCAGTGTTACGGTTGTGTGGGGATGGACAGGGTGGGCTTTGTGGAACACTTGAACTGGGTCTTGATGGGTGATGGGAGTTCACAAATGGAGACAGTGGAGTGGGCTTCCCAAAGGGGAGGACAGTGAGAAGAAAGGCATGTGGGCCAAGAAGCATAAGAAATGACTTGGAGAGGCATCGCTGGACTGTCCCTGGCTACTTGGAGATCCTACTGGTTATTACCTGTCATACAAGCACGTCTGGCCCAATACCAAAGAGCTTCTAAGCCAGGAGAGTTGACACTTGCCTGGGTGTCAGGCTGGCCTGCCCCACCAGACCAAACTCTCCCTCCCCCTCCGACTCACTCTCCGCCCATACCGCATGCACACCGCTACCTTGGACAGAGGCCCGGGGTGTCTGCACCTCCTCGTCGGTAGCAAATGACCTCAGCTGTCTTGTGTCCCCACTGCACAGGCTGGTGAGGCCCATTTAGGTGCCAGTACAATGAAGGTCTTGTGGTTATTGGTCATGTCACCATTTAACGTGTCCATTCTTCAACCGAGTACCATTTTACAAAAAGCCTGTGGAGCTCCTGGTGCTCTGTGAGATGGCACTGGGACCCTTCCCAGTGGTGGTTCCATGGGGCCCCAGTGGGCGTGTCCAGCTGGCTTTACAGCTCCTCGGTGGTCGGTGTCCAGCCCCAGTCTGTGACCCTGCCTGGCCTGGCTGTGCTTCCTCTGAACAGCTGGATTAGCAGAGGTGCTAAAAACCAGCGTGGTGAGCTCTGTGCCCAGAAGTCCCATTGCCTGGGTTTGACGAGCGAGTAATTTATGGCACGTGAACGTTGGCCCTTGGAGGGGAGTGTAAGTCATATCTGGTTGATAGATTCTGCCTCTTGATAAAAAGACAGGGCTCATGTTTCCCCACATGAAAGGAAGACTTGGGGCCTAAGTGGAAGCAGCTGAGGTCAGAGTGGAGCGGGGGGGGCCCTCCCCAGCTCCCCAGCTCCCCAGCTCCCCAGTGACCTGGGCACGCTGCAGTTAAGTCGCCAGCCCTCGTCCCGGACATGGTTCAGCCTTGGCCGGCCTGCCCCGGGGATGGCGCTTCCCGATGCGGTCTCCCTGGGTTTGGATGTCCTCCAGGCCCCAGACAGACCCAAGCCTGTCCCCTCTCTCAGGGCACGACGAGAAGGCAGACACGGCGGTGAGAGCCGGCACCTGCTGTGCCACATGCAAGGAGTTTCACCAGATGAAGCAAACGGTGCTGCAGCTGAAGCAGAAGGTACGTGCCAGGCAGGCGAGCGCCTCGCAGGAGATCAGGCCTTGATGGGGATGAAGTGGAGAAACGTCAGAAACAGTAAGAAAATGTCACCCAAGGCCTCGTGGAGCGTGCACTGAGGTCGGTGCCGACTCGGTTTGGACTGAGAAGCGTCATCCACCCAGCCTCAGAGCTGACCATCTAAAGGTCAGCAGAACAAGGGAGGCGGAATCAATTAGGTTACTATTAAAACATGGCCAGGTAAGGGGCACGTGACAAAGTGGTAGCGAGGATAGGCCGTGACTGGTGTGACTTTTTGTAAAATAACTACTTAAACACGTGGCCCTTACGTGACTTACATGATTCTGAATAGAGTGGAACAATTTGTCTATGTTCCATCAATAGACAACATCTTTATAAACTTCTATAGCTGGTGATGAATTTCTGTAATGGCTTTATTTTTCACCTTTAAGAGTTATGGCTTAGAGTGGAGGGAGGTGTAGCTCAGTGGTAGAGTGCGTGCTTAGCATGCACGAGGTCCTGGGTTCAATCCCTGGTACCTCTATTTTAAGAGAAAGTTATGGTCTCTGCTTTGTCTGGGTTCCACGCACCTTGGAAAGCAGCTGCTTGGATACCTCGTGTCACTGAGGGTGAGGAGTGACGCCCGCTTTCAAAGGCTCCCATGGCCCTTGCAAAGGCGTGCCTGACAGAGTATCAGATTTCTAGTAATGTTGTGCTGTGAGTAATGCCCCTCTGATGGACTAGTGACCTGAAATCTTGAAAAACCATCCTGGACCCAGGTTGATGGTGTTTATTATAACTAAGGTCAGTGAATTCACCAGTCTGTTGGCAACTCAGAAATTGCTCTTAGATTGGTAAGACATAAACTTGCTGGTGTGTTTATTGAATGGCTTTCACTCAGGGCTCTTAATACATCAAAGAGGTGTGTATCATCTGTTTAACTTTGGCATCTAGTTATTGTAAAGGGCAGAAGGATAAGCATAAGACAGTACTGCTTTTCCGTGTTCAACACACACGCAGGCAGCCCCTGATGAGATCCAGAGCTCAGAGAAACCAGAGGTCGTGGGCTGAGAAGAGAAATGATTTTGCAGACCTTTGTGCATGGGTGGTGACAATCTATCAACTTCAACGGAGGCATGTGTGTGTGTGTGTATATATATATATATATATATATATATATATATATATGCCATATGTATACATCTATATGCCACACACACACACATATATACACATACACATTTATATATGATGTGTAAATCCTACTTTGTGATCCAATAGGGAGACCAGGCTGAAAACCTTGTACGTGTGTCAACATAGACACAGTTGTGAATTGTACATCCCACACAGACATCCTCAGGGTGAACTTGGATCGGTATTAATATTTATTGAGGAAATCCAAAAAAAAAAAGGTTCATGGAAGAAGTTTGCATTTCACAGGCCAGAGGAGTAGGGCCTGGGGGAGGCAGTTGATTAACGTCTCAAGGCCTAACACTGTCCTCAGTGTTCTTCTCTGGACAGTCAATAATCTGAAAGCTCTAGGGAAGCTCTTAGCAGCCTGTACGGCCTTGAAGGTCGGTGCTGCTCAGTCTTGCTAGCTCAGAAATTCAGTTACTAAATCATCTGGATTTCCCTTAACCTCCCTGCAGTGTTGGGTTTTTTTTTTAAATTGAAATATAGTCAATTTACAGTGTTGTGCTAATTTCTGGTGTACAGCATAGTGATTCATTAATACATGTGTATATATTTTTTGTATTCTTTTTCATTATAGTATATTACAAAGTATTGAATATAGTTCCCCGTGCTCTACAGTAAAACCTCGCTGTTGATCTATTTTATATACAGTAATGTTTGTATCTGCAAATCCCAAGCTCCCTTGCAACGTTTTACGACACACAAAAGAAGAAATGTTAAAAAGAAGTTGAAAATTTGTGTCACCCTTAAAGGCCTCGTGGCAGGGCTGCACCCAGATGCAGCACTGCGCTTCTCGGTCCCGCGGGAGCTCTCAGCGCTGGGTGCGCCTGGAGTGGCCTTCTGCTGAGTTCCCCTGCACGTGCCTCGTGGCAGGTCTGAGCTAAAGCTGACGTTCAAAGAACGTCCTGAGGAGCAGCTCATTTCGCGAGGTGCTTGTTGGAATGCGATGTGCCCTGCGGCTAGTAAAGCGGCTTTATGCCCAGGAACCCGTTCAGTTCTCACCCTGATGTTCGTGTTGTCCGAAAGGTGCAGTCACCCCCCAAGAGGCAGGCTGGCCCCCAGACCCTGGGTCTTCCCACTTCTGCTCCTGTGCCACTGTTGGGATTGTCATTTGATTTTTAACTTCCTCTCATTGCTGCTGGTGCCATGTGTTCCAAAAAGAACATAGGACATCTGCCCAAGTAAACATTGGCTAAGAAGCAGGTGACTGGGTGTCCTGGACCACGGCCAACCCCCTGGTATAAGACGGTCTGCAGACGTGCTGAAGGGCAGCACGAGTGCACAGTCAGCAAAATCCCACCTCGGAGAGGCTCTGCGGGGCAAACACCCTGGGTTCTTCAGTGGGTACGTTATAAGGAAAAAAAGGAGGTGGGGCAGCAACCTGCAGGTTAAAAGAAACTTTTAAAAAAGTACGATTTTTTTTATGGGCAAGACTGAGCCTTAGTGTGTAGGCATGCCCAGTTGGGTGGGTGGTACCTGAATTTTTAAAACACAGGAAGTGATTAAAATCAGAGTAGTTACTTTTGCGGGAAGGGGGAGGAGGCTGTGATTGGTCAGGGCACATGGAGGGGCTGCTGGTGACAGGCCAAGTTCTGATAGTTGACGTAGCTCTTCATCAACAGGATGCTTGTCATGTGGTAATTCTCTAAGATGTGTATTTATTTTGTGGGGTTTCCAGATTCTGTGCTTTTATTTTCCAATAAAATGTTTTTGTGAAATGCAAATGAACTTATTTACCAAACAGAAACAGACTCACAGACATAGAAAACAAACTTACGGTTACCAGGACGGGAAAGGGGGTAAGTGGGAATAAATTGGGAGTTTGAGATTTGCAGATACTACTATATATAAAGTAGGTTAACAAGTTTCTACTGTACAGCACAGGGAACTATATTCAACATCTTGTAGTTACCTATAATGAAAAAGAAGTTGAACAAGACTATATGTATGACTGAAAAAGTATGCTGTACACCAGAAATTGATGCAACATTGTAAACTGATTATACTTCAATTGAAAAAGGCGTCATCACTTTCACCCTCCCAGCCGCCCTTTTAATAAGGGCGTTATTATAAACAAGGTGGTTGTTACGATCCTCATTTTATAGGTGATGAAATCCAGGTTACGTCGCTTATCGAGATCCCACAGGTAGAACGTGGCAGGGCTAAGTCTGCCTGATGCCAAAGCCCACAGGTGGGATCTGCATTTCAGTTTTTCTGTTGGAAGCAGATAATAAAACTGGACCAGCCTTCAGGGGCCACATTGACCCACTGTCCTCTAGTTAGAGTAGATTTTCTTGTAAATTCCTCACTCGGTTCCCTCCCTTTCCACCCCAGGACCCGGGTGTGGGTTCACAGGTTGGAGTGGTTTCTCAGTGTGACATAGTGATACCAGCACCGCTGTAAATGAAACCTTAGAATGCAGCTGGGTCCTGGTGGTGACTTCGAACCATGAACCCTGACATGAAGTTGTGCAAAGCTGACTTTCAGATTGCACGAGGTTTGAATTCTTACGGTTTCCCTTCCTGGATTCTGAGTGATGACTGCAGGGGTACTGTGTGCCTTTCCTTGCATATTTCAGGGAACGCGAGGTCTTCTTCAAGTGTGGAGGAAGACCATTTATCCGGAAGGCACTGGGTGTTCAGGAATCTTCTAGCTTATGGATCTGCAAGGCTGTCCTTACCCAAGGATTTTCGTACTAGCTAAGGGGCTCCTAAGCCCCTGCGGGACCCTTTGGAAGAGAGTGTTCGTGCCTCTTTGAGTTTCCTGCCCTCTGAGCATCCTTGCATTGTGAGCTGGTTGGATTTCAGTAAAAACTCCAAGAAAAGGAAAAAAAAAAGAAAAGCACCCCCTGGAGAAAGTTCCAGACATGGGTCCCAGGCTCACTGTTTCCTCCATCTCCCTGCTTTGTTACTGTCAAGCCAAGTGCCCTGAGGTCCTGGGGGTTATTTGTGCTGGGCAGCAACGTTCTCTTCCTCGTGTAATCCTCTGTCCTGATAGTGTGTGTCATTGATGAGGAAATGGACGCCCAGAGCTTTCAGTTCTTACCAGAGGTCTCACCGATTCCTGACTTCAAGGAATGCAAAGGTCTTTAACATGTGTGGTTCCCCAGCTTCCCCTAGAGTGAGACCCTGCAATCCTAGAGAGCCGGCCGGGTGGAAGCACAGTGTCTTTTATGACCTCGTCCCAGAAGCCACACACCATCACTTACATCATCTTCTGTTCATTAGAATCAAGTCCCTAAGTACAGCCCATACTCGGAGGGTAGAGAATGAACCTCCACCTTTTAAAGGGATGAGTGTCTGAAAATTTATGGGCACATCTTAAAACCATCACAGTGACTGGTTCCCACTGGCTCCCAGACACCTGAGCGAGCAGTGGCCTGTAAGCCATATTTTGGTCCTGGCTCCCAAGGCTAAGAAACCTTTAAGAGCAAGGACCGTGTCTTGGTCACCACTGTTACCTTAGAACCAAGCACAAGGCCTGGCACTCAGCAGGTTCTCAAATATTTGAGATGTAAAGGTGTTAATAAGTTGGAAATCTGAAACAGGCAGATGTATTAATTATGGTGAGAATGAGTCTAGTGATAATCTAGGGGAGCTGGAGCTGATCCAGGCTCCCCGACAACCTGCTGAGAGACCCCACACACACTGCTTTCACCAGCAGGTGTCTGGGCTGAGAATGAGCCCCGCTACAGCCCGTCTGAGCTCTGACTGCTCGGATAAAGGGGAAGAACCATGAAAAGGCTCTGTGGCCTCTGCAGACAGCACAAGGGCAGAGAACTTCCCCGGTGGTGGGGCCATTGCTTCCTGACTGAGGCTCCTCTTCTCCCTGCAGATTGCCCTGCTCCCCAACAGCGCCGCCGACCTGGGCAAGTACATCACTGGTGACAAGGTCCTGGCCTCGAACGCCTACCTTCCAGGACCTCCTGGCCTGCCTGGGGGCCAGGGCCCTCCCGGTGAGTAAGGGAGAGTGTGAAAGGGTGATAAGGTCACCAGCCAAGGCCTGTCCAGAGCTCCGTTTAGTGGGGGCCGGACAGAGTTCTTAAGCTTCCATGGGTGGGAGCAGAAGCCAGGGTCCAGGGAGCTCCCACACGTGGGAGACAAGAGGGCCTGGGGACGTTGGGTCAAGCCTGAGAGACTCTCATAACCAGTGGTCATCAGGGAGAAAAACGTCGTTGTCCTGGGTTTGGCTAAGACTCTTGAAGATCATCTTAAAAGACAGAAACAAAATGAAAACTATTTTTCGCATTAACACGGATGATGGTTGATGAACTAGTGAGCTCCTTTGGTCTCATCACCCCGTGCTGGCAACTGCTGGCCAGCCCCGCTTCCCCTCTCCCCCAGCCCTCTCTCCTCCTCTCCCTGTTATTCAGGAACACTTATTCGGGTAGTTACTTTTATATCTCTCTATATATTTTTCTTTAGAAGTCAATCTCATTGAGATACAATTCTATACCATGAAATGTACCCACTTGAGTTACAGCTCGATGAGTTTTGAAGGATGTATACGCCCTGTATCAAGCACTTACCACCACCCTGTGTCTAGTCTGCGTCAAGATCTAGAACATTTCCATCACCCCAGAAATTTCCCCTGTGCCCACTTGCAACTTGTATCCCCAGCTCCTGGCAGCCCCTGACCCACTGTCTCTCACTGCAGTTGTGTCTGTTCAGAACATCATAGCAATAAATCTGTTCTTTTTGTCTGGCTTCTTCAGGATCCTGTTCTGGAGATTTATCATGGTTACTTTGAAGAAAATCTTTAACATTCTGTCATTCCATCAGGAAACGCACAGCGAGAACTTTAAGAAATAGTGACAGGCTGTTTTATATTTTACTGGGAGTTCTTCCATAGGTAGATCAATAGGGTTTTTTTTTTCCACACCGGTGAAGAAAGTATTAGTGTTAGCAAATGATTCAAAAACATGGATGTCTTATCCCTGATTCTTACTGCTGAGTGGTGTGCTAGGTAGTGTGAATAACCTCCTGACATTCTAATGGGGGAGACTAGACACACGGAGTGAACGCAAACAGAGCAGTCTCTGCCCACCCCCAGGTAAGTGCGCAGGTGCCTCCTGCTATGGAAGCTGAAAGCAGAGAGAGGTCGCTGTAGCCGACAGGGATCAGAGGACTTGAGGTGTGAGCCAGACACGGAAGGACACGAAAGGTAGGACTGGTCCAAGCAGGAAGGACACAGCAGATTTTAGGTTGGAAGGTCAGCAAGTACAGAAGCTCAGAATGCTTCCCAAACTATGTGTTTTCTTCTGCACTTATCCTCATCTCCTGGTTTCCTTCAAAACACAGGTGGCCTGGGTCTCTGTACAGAGACCGAGAGCTGGTCCAGAACTTTGGTTTATCCTCTTGTTCCTCCCCTTGGTCTGAGCTACTCTGGGTCATGGTGGAGTTGTCTCCAGCAGATGCCACACACAGGCAGCCTCCTGCGTCTTCTAAGTAGACTTGGGTGTCTCCTTACAAATTGATCCCTGCCACAGGGTTCTCCATCCTTCTCTAAGACAATGCTCTTGCTCTGCTTCCTTGGAGGAGGTTCGTCTCCAGGCCAGTCTACCTCTCGCTCCAACCAGGACAGACTAGAAACAGGGGAGCCGTTGGCTGTCTTTCTTCTGAGTGAATGAGTTCTCCCATCTGGTTTCTATCCTGGTCTGAGCTGTCCAGGGTCCTTGATGGAGCAGAGTGACCGAGGATTAGCTCTGGCCCGTGCTTTCTCCTCCAGTCCTGTTTCCTTCTCACACCTTATTTCTAGCCTCACAGTTTGTGATGCCCTCCGTTGAGGGGTGTTAGAGCAGCTAGAGAGAGAATGTTTCTCTCACCCTCAACTAAAATTCCAGTCCTGCCTCCTGTGGTGCATCAGAGACCGGGGCACCGGTTCAGGAAGCTGCACTGGGTTGCAATCCTTTGGCTTTGGTGTTGAGGGAGTGGTTGCCACTCTCCCTCCACCCCCGACTGTCACATCTAAGGTGCTGATGCCGGCATGTCCAAGCCCCACATTTTAAAGGCACTTGACATTGTGATCTCAGGGGTTCATTGATTGTGGAAATAAAGGTAAGAGATTTTCTCTGGCCTGTACTTGAGCTGTTAGAGGTTAAGTATTTAGTCATAAGAGGGATCTGGTCCCCTTCCCAGATAGACTCTTTCAGGCTGTACCTTGAACCAGCACTGAGAGCAGGGCTGTGAGGCATGTGTGATGGGACGTTGACTGCCTTTAACCTTGGCTTCATTCCTGTGTGAGCTAGAAAAGACTCCCCCAAGTCTGACAGGTCTGCAGTCTTCGCTTGTTTCTTTGCTTTGTTTTGGTTTGTTTCCCAGTGCCTGAAAGTCGTTCCATCCTGTCCCTGTGCTCGGCCAGCAGCAGGAACCAGGTGTGATGAAGAGTCTTTACTGTGTGCGTTTGAAAGGGAGGAATTGCAGCGCAGCAGTCAGTCCCGCCTTCGGGGCTTCCCTTTGACTTGAAGCACTTACTGAGCAGCCTTCCCTGTGCCTGGGCCTCTCCGACAGTGTCCTGACACTTCAGACACAGCCCAGGCCCTCACAAAGCTGACAAACTAAAGCGAGTTAAAACCCAACGTCCTTCCATCTGCAGAAGAGTGAAGTTAGACCTTACTTTACACCATAGACAAAATGGATTAAAGAGCTGAATTAAGACCTGAAGCTGTAAAACTCCTAGGAGAAAACCTAAGGGAAGGCTTCCGTGCCAGCAGACTTGGCAGTGATTCTCGAACATGACACCAGAAGCACAGATGACAAAAAGCAAAAATAGACCTGAAACCCCTTCATCTGTTTAGACGAGCTGTCCTTTCCACCAGCGCCTTGTAACGTGCGTTGTTACGTCAAAGTCGCTGTGTGACAACCCTAACATCTGGGTCGCCTCCGAGTCTGATTCTGCTAATTGTTCTACCTCTTAAACATGAGGCTTGTTTAAATTTTTTTTGGAGGGGGGAGATTTTGGGGGTTAGTTTTTTGTGGGTTTTTTTTCCTTTTTTTTTTAATATATATATATCTCAAAACTTTGGACGAATGCTAGATACAGTCTGGAGAGGACCAGCAGAGACGGGGGTAGGCAGGAGTTACTCCTGGAGACGGGTGTCCTCTTCGTTTGTCAGGCTGCCAGCAAGGAGAGTGGGGTCCATCTGATGGAGCACTGAGCCGCGTTGCGGGGTGTGGTCACTATCTCTGCCTCTCGTGGTCCACGTCTTCACGTTTTCAAATTCCTGCAGTCTTAGTGGGGACCCAGGGTGCCGATGGATTTTTCTCAGTGGTTCCCAGCTTCCCATGGCCCCTGCAAACCTGTGCCGCCCAGGCTTCTCTCTGCACGTTCTGGTTCTGCCCCAGGGGTAGCCTGCTGTGACTTACTACTCCCGGGCAGAATTGCAGGGGTCGGGGAGGTTTCAGTTCTCCTGGTCCAGCTGCATCCAGGCCTCGGGGCGAGATCGTCTGTCCACCAGTGGCGGCCCCACTCTGGCTCATGTCTGCAGCAGAGCCTGAGCAGGAGAGCGCGCTGCCCTCTCCCCAGGAGTAGGAGACGTCTGCGTCCTGCGGGGGCGTTTGCTGCCCCACGTCAGTGGCTTGGGACTTTTGCCCCAAGGGGTTGAAGTAGGAAAGTTATAGAGTGAGACTTGTTCTAGAATGAATATGCAGATGGAAGTGTGAAGAGCAGGTGAGGGATGAACAAGACTGATGGGAAACAGAGGGACCAGCTGGGAGGCAAGAGTTAAAGCTAAGAAAAGGAAGGCCTAACAGAGTTTTGAGGGGCTTGGGGGTTTTGTTTGGTTGGTTTTTTAGTGACTCTCTGAGGTGCTATGCTAAGTGATGTGTGTGCATGTATCTCAAATCCCATTTGCTGCTCACAGCCGCTCTGTAAGGTAACTGTATCTTAGCCCTGCTTTAGGGATGGGAAACTGAGATTCAGAGAGGTCAAGCAACTTATCCACGATTCAAGGCAGGTCCCCCTGAGGCTGAAACCTGTGCTCCAAACCGCCATCCAGCTGTGTTAACCACCGCCCTGCTGGGAAGGAGGGGTGCGGGGGAACAGAGAGTCACGAGACATTAAAGAGGTGAAATAAATAGGACGGGTCACTGATCAGACTAGGAGCTTGTGGAAGCAGGGAAATCTTGAAGAAGATTCTCAGTGTCCAGCTCGAGTCAACGGGTGACTGGAGGTCCATGGAAAGAATGGGGCAGTCCATTTTTGGTCCTGTTAAGTGTAAAATGTCTCTAAGACATCTAATTAGGTGGAGAGGTCAGAAGGAGAAGGGCAGAGTGCAAAGAGGAGTGTCGGAAAGGGGCTCCTGGACTCTTGTCCATCAGCCGGGGCCCTTGTCCTCCCCGTGGGCTAATGAGGAGCTAACGAGGTGTTCTTTGCTTGCAGGCTCTCCAGGACCGAAGGGGAGCCCAGGCTTCCCGGGGACACCAGGCCCTCCAGGGCAGCCCGGCCCCCGGGGCTCAATGGGACCAATGGGACCGTCTCCTGATCTGTCCCACATTAAGCAAGGCAGGAGGGGCCCTGTGGTCAGTATTTCATCAGAGATCCGCTCACTGTGGTTGGGGGAAGCGTGTTCCTGCTGTTAACCTAGACCCCTTTGTCTTGTAGGGTCCGCCGGGTGCCCCAGGAAGAGATGGTTCTAAGGTAAGTCTTCTGAGCAGTCCTTACATGCATTGAGTTTCTTAGTTTCAGCCTCCTATGCAGGCATCATGGAAAGCTCAAGCACAGGTCATTGTCCCCACTGGGCACGTGGCAAAGTCGAGACACTGATAGACTTTTTGTCCCCAAAGCTGGGAAGAAAATCTAAAAAGCGAATTTTCTTAAAATATGAAGCATCCATAACATCAGAAAGCTTCACCAAAGCCACTTCTGAGAACGATTACCCATCAATGTTAAACACGCCTCCTGGTTGTCATGGTGGCACGTGTCTTTCTCGTCAGCCAGTGTTCTCTGCGGGGCTGTCTTGTGTGCGTTCCCATCTCTTCGCTACCCTGAAGTCAAGAACAGAAGTTCCATCCTATACAAGGGGGTGGGTTCACTTTGAGGGCTGCCTGCCCCTTGCCTCCTGAAGAAGTCAGTGTGAGTTACTTTAGAGAAGCTTCTCGGTTACTCCACGCTCTGGCCGGGGACACCAGCTTTCCTCTGGTCAGGTCTGGTTGGTAAGTATTTGGCCCTGGGAGGGGAATTAGAAGAGGCTCTTGAGTCAAGCAGTTCTGTTCAAATCGGTGGGCCCCAGAGTCCAGCTTCGAGCTGGTGTCCATTTCCAGTAGGAAGTATTTGTTGTTTTGCTCAAGGAGATGGTTGTGGTGGGTGTCGAAATAGAGACATGGTGGCGGCCTCCACGTGGTCCAGAAAGCTAACCCTGACCCTTCTGCTTTTAGGGGGAGAGAGGAGCGCCTGGCCCCAGAGGGTCTCCAGTAAGTAGCACTGCCTGTCCTGTTTCCCCAGTGGGACGGTGCTCAGGGCTGCAGCTCTGATGAGCCTGTAAGTTGGTCTTACTAGCAAAAGCCGGCCCCCTCCAGCAGCCACTCCACCTGCCTACACAGAACTCCACGATTAGAAGAATCACCAAAGCCATTAGCAGCTGGTTGGGTTTTATTTTGAAAATTCATTTCTTGTTTTTTTTCTTTTATCATGGCTAACTTTTATTCGGAATGTCTTCTGTTAAGATTCACAGCCCCAGTATGCCATGAATCTGTTTCCACGTGTGTCTTACAGCACCTGAAGGAGATGCACGGGGTTAAGTCCTAGCTCTGAATGTTTAAGAATTTAGCCCCCGGTCTAACCCTAGCAGGTCCAGTGACCATCCCCTCCAAGAAAGTGCAGACACACATGGCTGCTCAGGACTGCTGAGACAAAATTAGCCTGATGTATGTATGGTGTCTGGGAGATAAAAAATGAAAATTAGTGGTATCCAAAAGCACACATGATTCAGGCAACTTCATGGCTTGTGAGGAAGTCTGTGTCATTTCTGAAGAAAGACTGAGGGCCTCAGCCTTGGCAGTAGGAGATCTGGGTTCCCACCTCCACTCTTGCACCTGCTGGCTCACTGATCACGGCCATGTCACTTGGTGTCCATCCCTAGTGTCCATCCCCACACCTGTGCAGCACAGGTGAGTGTCCATTGACGTCCGAATGCTCTCGGTACATCACTGAGTGCTTTGCAGAGTTACCTAAGCTACTGTTTCTAAGGTAGCAGCTTCAAAACAGAGGTTGTGGGGGGAGACAGAGAATTTATTACAGGCCACCATCAGGCCCAGAACGTGCACGCCCACACATTATTTCACCATGCCCCACACAGCCCTTCATAGAAATGAAGGCTTAGTAAATAGTATAGAGTGACAAAAGATGTCCAGGCAACAGAAAAATTAGGAAGCCTTTGTCTGGACCTTTCCTGGTCAATGAGGAATAGATGCCTTTACAGTATACCTTCGGCTTCATTTAAATTAGTTATAGTCAACCATCCTTGTAAACATTTTAATAATTTCATCTTTAAAAAGGTAACGTATTTGAAAATGCATCAGGCTCCATACACTTCACGTGCATTAATTCATTAAATCCTCACTCATGACCCTTGTGAAACCCTACAAAGCTAGGACTATTATCCCCGTTTTAGGATGGAAAACAGAAACCCAAAGACATTAACTTGCCCAAGACCACACAGCTGGTAAGGGCAGGGCTGAGGTTCAAGCCCATCAGAACCCCAGCCTCTTAGCCACGACTCTGCCTTCATGAGCGTCCTCCAGGGCTCTTGGGAAAATACCCTAGGAGGGTGTTCCCACGTCCTTTTGCTCTACCAGATGTGACAGAGCCTAGAGCGAGGACAGGTGAGTGCATCATCACAGCTCCTCGGGAGGTGAAGGGGGATAGAAGGCAGTGTCCAGATTCCCCGGGCCGCTTCTGTCTCCTCCGTTTGCAACGCAGCGCTGACTGAGTAGTTGCTAGCGAGCAGCAGGACCGGCACCGCGGCGCTCGTGGGAGCCGTGGCTTTGCAAAGGGCTTTGCAAAGGGCTGAGTCTGCAGAGGTCCAGCGTTGACTCCTGTCTCCTGCACAGGGCCCCCCCGGCTCTTTCGACTTCCTGCTGCTCGTGCTGGCTGACATCCGCAACGACATCGCGGAGCTGCAGGAAAAGGTGTTCGGGCACCGGACTCACTCTTCAGCCGAGGAGTTCCTTCTACCTCAGGATTTTTCCAGCTACCCAGAGACCATGGACTTCAGCTCTGGAGACGACTACCCGAAAAGAACTGAGACGAGAGACCTGGGGGCCCCCAAAGACGTTCACCCTTAGTGCCGCCTGGCATCATGCCCAAGAGCAGTGTCTGCACCTGCAGTTAAGTCATCTAAAGAACAAACCACAACACCACTGGCGACCTAAGAAAGATACATTTTTATTTTCTTTACTCTTTTCCTGCCTTCTCCCTTCTCTCCTTCCAAGACATGAGGGATTGATTTATGTGCTTCCCCGGAGAGTGCAGTGGAACTTTTCTTTCACATCCTTATATTTCAGGAACTTCTGATTTCTGAAATCAGGTACTCTCACGGTGTCTTAAAAATTTGGCAGAATATCAAAAAGGGGGAAAGGGCAAGGTGAGTGCTAAGAAAATGTTGTTTACTTATTAAAAAAAAATACATATGTGTCCAAAATAGTTTGTCACTCCTCAGTATCAGTGAAAAGGGGGCGACAACAATGTATATTGACCTTGGTGGATCATTATTTTTCCTTGTCAGTCTAATAGATTTAAAATACTCTGTCTTCTTAGCCAACCTTTTCCCCAAAGTTTGATTAAAGGGAGGAGAGGAGGAGGAGTGAAGATTCGAGAAGATGGAGAAAAATTACAGCCGTGTACTGACTGTCTTGTAGGTGTCCCCAAATTAACACTCAGATGTGACTGTTCAGGGTGCATGCCGCACTGACCTGCGAGTATCCTATTCGAAGAAGAAAGTTACTCTCGCTGGAGGAATAAATCCTCTTTTCAAACAAAGTAAGTGAATGCAGGGCCCTGGTTCATATTAGAACAGCGGGCTCCTGGTTTGCCAGGACATTTTAAAGCTACGTGATGAATGAGTGGGCTTGCGTAGTAAATCATAGGTTATTTGTTAAACAGAGGTAACTGACCCTTTGGGAGAGGTGCAGAATTCCCTGACCGTGACCACGTGCCCAGAAGGTGCCATTAGGCCATGATCCAGGTTGAATCGATGTACAGTGGCGCCCAGGGCTGGAAGGAGGTTGCTGGCTCGGGTTGTTGGCGATGGGGGAAGGGGAACCTGAGGAAGAGACCCCGCTGAGTCACAGAGGCCGGTCAGTTTGCTGTCCTGGGAACTAGAAGTCCTTGTCGGGGGCCAGCCAGGCTTGCCAGCATATTGAGAATAACGCACAATCGAAGAAAGGTCTCTGGAATGCAACAGGGGAAAACAACAGGTTTCCTGGTTTACCAGAAGTTTCCTTCTCATTTTTCCTTAGTTTTCCATAATTTAGTCCACGTTCCAGTCCTTGCGGGCCTTCTCCTTGACGTCCCTTCCTCAGCAAACACGGGAAGCAGCTGGGACAGGAGCGGACTCCCACATGCCCCCCAGAATCAGTGTGTGCTCTTCCACCTCCAGGTCCCAGAGGACGCATATTCTGGAAAAGGCTCTCTGCCTCCACAGACACAGGAGCAAGAGTGCTCAAGGGACCTGCAGGGGCATCCGCTCCTTTGTCATATTGTTGAGGAGCCTCTTGGTTTTAATGGGCAGCTTACAGGCCCCTTCAAGTCCGCCTTGTCACTTGACGCACAGACTGGCATTGCAGCTGCCTTTTCAGGAGACATTCTCCCTTATCTTGAGCTTCACAAATGACGATTGCCACAACTCCTGTTTGCTCGTGTTGGGGTTCCCATTTCCCACCCCGCTGTGTCCCCCTAAATTTGGGGACGATTTGTATTTAATTTTCCTTTTCCATCTCCTCTTAGCGTCCATCATTTCACTCTCCTGCAAAAGCTTGTTTTTTCTTCAAACACCACTGAGAACAATGACATGCCACTTTTCACTCTTTCTTCAGAACAGTAAGAAGGGCTTGTGTTTGCAAATCTCCAGTGACAGCCTCCCTTCCCTCGTCCCCATCGCTTTAGACACGGGGCTCCAGCCAGCCAGCCAGAGGCTGAGTTTTTCACCAACACTTGCCTCCTCTATTTCTTAATCGCACAAAACCCCCAGTGACTGTCCACCAAGATGTTACCGCTGAAAGCACGCACATCCCCAGTGCTGTTTTTCTAGGATCTTTCCTGCCCCCTTCAGTCTCTCCAGAATCTTAATTGTCACAGCAGAAGCCCTCACCAGCCACAGGTTCATGAAGAGATGAACTGAGCAGATGTTGGTTCCCATCTGGAATGTATTTAATGTTTGCCGGCTTGTGGAACCCACGATTTAAAGTGTGCAGACAGATGAATACTAAAAACTTGATGCACAGGCTCCGAGAAATGATTAGGTCTATCTTTGATTTTTTTTTTTAAACGAGGAATTTTATTACCTTTTCTTTTTCTTAACAGTGAACTGTATGTAGAAATATAACTTCCTTCTTTATTGTTGAGTGATCATAAAATGCAAGAAAACTGCATGTTTGGTCAGAGGTTAGGATCATATATTAACTGAATGAATGGAAAATGGTAATATCTGGGATTTGTGAGACAATTCTGGATAATAATCTCCAGTAAAACACAGTAACCTGTATTTTATCATTTCAATCTGCTGGATCAGGTCAACCTATAAAATAATTATCCTCAGATGTTAAAAACTTGGACTACCACCATACAGACTAAATACGTACTCTGTATGCCGAAATTGTATTTGTCAAAGACAAATCGTAAGGCACTGTTGTTCCTAATGTATCTTTTAGTTATGGGCAGGAAACCAAGACTTCAATGTCTAAACAGGACTTCTGCTCAAAACCTAATAGGAAAGCCTTTTTTTGCGGGGGGTGGGGGCGAGATTTGCTAGTTTGGCTAAGCCCCTTCATGTTTCATTGGAGGAAAAAAGGTCTTTGTACACCCTTCAATTCTTCCCCAGAAACGTTGACCTTAATTCTTTCACACCCTGACAAGTAGAACTTAGAACAGGACTTAATAGGTTGCTTCTGTTTTCGGAAAGCAGTGGGAATAAAACTCCACTGTTCAAAATAGCACAAGGAGGGGATACATTTTAGTTTAGGAAAGTTCTCCTCCCTTCCCAGTTCTGGAGGGAGAAATTAGAAGCTGTGCTGGGCCAGCTCCTATGGGGGTGCAAAGGGAATTCTGTCTTCTCTCTTCTTCTGTGTTAATTTCAATACCTGCCACAGAGCAGATCAGCCAACTAAAGTCACATCTACTGTATAAACTCAGACAAGTGTGTTCATAGCCACACAGGTAGATCACAAATACGCACTGGCGGGTGGGGAGGATTTTATTTCCCCACCAAGTAACAGGTGAAGGGCACCCTGGGTCTGGGCCTGCTCCTTTTGAAGGCTTCATGGTACTGATGGCCTTGGGAGAGGTGTTTCGGGGGATGCAGAGGAGGATGTTCTGCACCAGGCATCTCCTTGGGTTGCCAGCAGATCCCTCCTCACTTTTGGGGTGTCACTCCCCCTCCTCCTATCCCTTCTCCAGCCTGTCACAGAGAGAGCAAGCTCACTGTGTAACCTTAACATCTTTCAGATAACCTTCCTGAAAAGGCAATTTATTTGCAGGAATCCAGGCCAAACAGCTAGTAGAACAGAGCCATCTAAAGTTACTAGTAATGAATTCAGGGAAATAGATGAAATTTTTCCTGGCACGGTCAACACGTATGTTTCACAACAAATCAAAAAATAATTTCATTAAAAAAAAATGTGACCGTAACTGTTAAAGCTTAATTCCTGGACTTCACACACTCCTTCAACAAATATTGCTGCTTTAGGGATATCATAGGGGGAAAAAGACCCTGTTATCCATCCTCCAGAGCCCTCCGCAAGCTTCATGAGATTCCCCGAAGCAGGTGCCCTGGGGAATTCCACGTGTGTCGTGACTTTATTTCTGGTGATTAGCCTTATACTTAAGTAGCTGTGTTCATGATTTATAACAGGGCCATATAGCAGTTGAGCTAGTCTTCAGTTACGGCTGTTACACAGTGGAGTGCTTTTGATAAGCTTATATATGCGTAATAACAAAGTTATTTTTGTTATGTGGTTGTACTGTGTTTTGTCCTGACATCCAGTCCTGAAGAAGGAGTAGTGATTTTGCAAGAGGAACACCAGGTTGACGGAGAGAAACATTTCTCTTAGGAGCCGGAGCCTGCATTGCTGGGTAGCCCACCTCTTGGGGGCTGAGTGTGGCCCCAACATTTGGGGGTGAGTCAAGGTCTGAAGGCCCAGGTGCCCAGCTCATGGAATCCTCTGGGATCCCCAGGGTGGGGTTTTCAAACCAGGAACTCTCTGGAGATGCTCTGGGGGGTGGAGGAGGGTTGTGAGGGTTCCTCCCCCTGCCCCCACCGACACCCAAAGCACCACGAGCAACTCAGCTTTCCATTGGGTTTGGATTAGAATTCCACATAAGGTGTCCTTTGGCCGGTGGAATGTTGATGACCTAAAAGGAGGTTAAAATAAATAGAGTTGGGAGTAATCCCCATGAGTTTCTAGCTGAAGTTCCCCTCTGTGAAGATAAGAGGAAGGGAATTTTCATCAGTTGGGACACACAGGAGGCAGAGTTATAAAATAAAAAGGGAGGTTACTTCTAAGAGATGGGTAGACTTTAGCAAGGCGCCTTTGGCGTCCCAAAGATAACGGGTGTTGACACATCTCACTTTGCTTGAACAAATATTCACCAGAGGCTTGTTGTCAGCTGCACACTGCCCTATGTGCTGCAGACACAGGGAGCAGAAAGTCATAATCCCCATCCTTCAGGGGATTTTTGGCAAAACGGACACAGATCCTTCCAGGCAAAATAAGTTAATCACATGAATATGCAATTTCAAACTGTGATAAGTACTACGAATGAAAAGTGTGGCAGGAGCCCATAACAGCTTGTGCCGATGGGAACCACCCTTTGGTCCCCGTGCCCTTCTTCCCGAAGTCACACACACACACAGCACCTGACAGCATTCACATCTGAGCCACACGAGACCCCCAGCCCCCGCAGGGAAAAGCTTCACGAGTCCTCTGGGTGAAACAGCAGTCGATGGAAATCTGCGAGACCCCTTCCTGTATGATGTTTCCAGCCTTCGTTGTTTAAAAAACAGCTTGGTGAACCAGAGCTGGGGAATTGCCTCTGGAGATCCCCTTTGTGCAGCTGGCTGGTAACCCCTGTGCTCTGGTCTTGATTCCCAGCAGAATTTGAGGTTCATTTCCTCCCAACCAGGACTCAGAAGTTTTGAAAAAGCTTGCCATGCTTTTGGATCATCCCCGGTCGTTTATAGAGTCTCAAACCCTGTTCACATCTAGATACAGGGTTACCGGGTGGCCAGGTAGAAACCTGCACTCAGCCGCTGGGGGTTCCCCACAAAAAAGGTGACTCAGCAAGGGTGTGTGGGAGCAGCTGCAGGTGGCTTGCAAGAGAACTGGCAGAGACGTGAGGAAGAGGGGTGTGTTTCCTGGGGTTGCCGAAGCGAAGTACCACAACTGGTGTATGTACATGTGTACATGTGTATGTAATATGTGTATACATACATGTACACATACACAGCGGGAGGGAGAGAGATTTAAGGACTTGGCTCATGTGATTATAGAGGCTGGATCCTGGAGACCCAGGAAAGAATTGATGTTGCAGTTGAGTCCAAAGGCAGACTGCTGGCAGAATTCCTTCTTCAGGGTCAGTGTTTTTGTATTATAGCCTTCAACTGATTGGATGAGGCCCACCTGCATTATGGAGGGCAACCTGTTTTATGCAAAGTCTACTGATTTAAATGCTAATCTCATCTGTTTTAAAAAAAAAAATCCTTCCCAGAAACATCTAGAATCATGTTTGACCAAATCTGGGTACTGGTACCAAATACTGGGCCTAGCCAAGTTGACACATAAGATTGACCATTACGGTATGTACCAGTATTGAAAGAGCTCCAGGGGGAAATGGAGTAGGGGAATAGAGTGATGGAGGGTGGGAGTATCTCCCTGGTGGGCTCTCTTGGAAAGACCTCGCGGACAGGGGTTGTGAGCAGATACCTGAATGAAGGGAGGAGGTGAGCCATGCGGAGAATCGGGGGGAGAGATCCACCCTGCGGGGACCTGCGTGGTGCACTCAGAGAGTAGCAAGGGGTCATGTGGCTGGAGCAGAATGAGCAAGGGTGAGTGGGGGGAAATGCCTGGACAGAGAGGCAGCCAGGGCCCACGTGGAGCCTTAAAGGCTCGGCGAGGACTCCGCATTTCATTCTGGACCCACAGTGGGTTTTTGAAGGGGCGAGGTGGGAAGCAGGGAAACCCAGTGCGAGACTATGGAAGCACGTCTCCTGACCACCTCTCTCGTGAGAACTTGTTTGCCGTCTGCATCCTTGCTGGACTAGAAACTCAGGGGGCAGGAACTTTCTGTTTCTCTCCACTGTGCTCCCAGCATCTGCCGCCGTGCCCCGTATAGAGCAGGAGCCCGATCCATCTTTTATAGTGAATTTGATTTAACACATTTAGTCTTCCCAAAACCTTGTAAGGTAGGTACTTTTATTATCCCTATTGTGTACGTATACTAAGAAAGAAAATCGCTTGCCCAAGGTCACACAGCTGAAACGTTTGTAACAGAGGTGTATTACAGTTAATTCCCCATCAGATCAAGCCTATGGGATGCACATAGCTCAGCCCCACGTTGGAAGCACGCATGCCTTCACAGAATGGTCCTCCATGGGGCAGAAGGGCAGAGAGCCACTTGCTTCCCACCGTCCAATTCCTTAATTGATACAAGTTTGACAACTTCTCTGATCTTCCGATATGAGGTGACTGACAAATGCACACAGTAAGGCTGTAAAGATAAATTCTCAAGGAAATCAAGAAACAGATAAAGCTATTACAGTTAATATTGCTTAGTGTTAGCTATGGTCCAAAGATAACTTGCAGTCAAGACTGAAAAGGAAATACAGTAGGTTAAATAACATTATCTAATAGAAGGGAACGTTTTTCAGATTTTTTTTTTCCTGGAAGGAATATATCAAATGAGTCCTTATTAGTCACTGTGACCAACATACAAAACCATTTCTTATAAAGCTTCATGGTAAAAGGAAATGTAAGAAAGCATGTGTTTGTTCAACTGTCTCTGCAGAGGGCTTAAATTAGTGTATAATAGAGGGTATATGTCTGGTGGGTGAACTTGAGGACAGGATAAAGCTTCGGCTGCTTTGAGGACTAACCAATGAGGTCATAAAATCAGCAGCTCTCATGGTTTTGACATTGAGCCACTGGAAACACACACACAAAAACACACACATGGTCCAACACTTAAGATAACTGAAGTAAATTTCACAAGACTTAGCCTTAACTGCACATGGTGACGCACTCATGTTTTCTTTGTATCATCTCATTTTTTAAAAATCTTGGTCACAAGCACTAAGTCAATTCGTGACTTACTGATGAGTGGCAGCCCACAGTTTGAGGACCACTTGCTTCTCAAACTGTACTGTGCATGTTTCATCTGGGGGCTTTATGAGTGAAGGTTCTGATCCAATGGCTGTGGGGAGGGCAGGGTCTGAAATCTGCATTCTCCCAAGCTCCCCGGTGATGCTGCTTTTTGACCCACACCATGAGTAGCAAAAACCCATCTATCACGAAGAACTGTCTGCTCTGGACTTTAAATAGGAGCAGGAGAGAATCAGATTAATTCTGGTAAGAGTCAGGAATGCAAACATGGCTATTATATTCGCTATTTGGTCCCTTATGCCTGCTACTTTGTAAAAGAAAATACGCTTTCCCTGGGAAATGGTGCATTAGAAGATGAAACTGAACTCTCTGTTAACATTTTATGAAGAATCAAGTTGAAAGCCAGCCGAAGAGGAGAGAATTATGGAGGGAGAATGGAGACCTTGGTGGGGAAGTGGGAGGGCGGCAAACACGAGCTTTGCGCAGGTTGCTAATATTGAGGGGGGCTGGTTCCCAGAGCTGGGAGGACAGAAACAAAGTCCACGCAGCCTGTTGGCTCAGCTGAGCCAGATTCGGCTTCTGTCGCTCCTGTTCCCACAGGGTGTGGTGTCTCCTCCATCATCCCTAGGCAAGTCAGTGACTCCTGATTCTCGTCCGTTTCTGGCAAGGTGACAACTTATGTTTTGAATTCTGACCTCTCCTTCAGTCTGTTTCCTGTGGTTTTTTCTCCCCTTCCGTCCCTAACATCACTGCCAACCGCTGGGAATGGAAGCTGGGCGGGGAGATGATTGGACTAGAGGGAAAGTCGTATCTATGGAGCCATGTTTTGCTTTATAAATAGTTATGATATATGAGGATGGAACTGTTTCCTAAGTCAAGTTTTGTTGGTTGGCTTTTTTCTTTTAAACCGTAACCCACGGGCATTCTCGGCTCCCTCTGCTTTGCTTTGGCCTTCGCTCCCGCACAGAAGGGAAACCCAGTAATGTGCTAGACCTGCCCTGAGTCCGCTTGGAGATGCCATTGACCTTTCTTTTTTTTCTTTTTTTTTTTTTTTTAATGGTGGTACTGCGCCTTGAACCCGGGACTTTGTGCATGCTAAGCATGCACTCTACCAATGAGCTATCCCCCACTCCCTGCCACCATTGACCTTTTTACCCCCAGAATTCTGCTGGTAATGCCGGCATCTTGCTAGTCTGCCATCATGCCAGGCAAGCGAAAGACCATGACATGTGGAATGCTCCTCCCCTGTGCCCACGGGGTCATTTATTTACAATTCAGTAAAAGTCTTGGC